GATGGCTTTTGGTTAATAGAACTTTTAGAGGTGAGGGATACATAAAAAAATTCATGATACTGAAATTGTTATTGTTGGAGAAATTGGATATTGGGTATGATCTATTAAAAAAACATTACAAAAGCTAATAAAACTAAAGTAAACTTGGAGTGTAATAATTCTTCTATACATTTGTTTGAAAATAGTAATACATAGAATTTGACCTCTACATTTATAGGAAAGCACTGGATTCCAAAGAAACATTGTTTGATTATCGTCACCCATCAGAAAACAAAACACAGGTTTATTCAATTGATTTTTTTTTTTTTCTCCATCAGTATTATCCCCCTCTTCTTCCTAATTCTAAACATGCATGTTCAATCTTTGTTTGAGTGTTTAGAGTCGTTCTTGGATTAAATTGATTGGAGGAGCAGCCTCTCATGAAGCAGAGTCCTGCTGGGACACAGACTACAGTCTGTAAACACTTAGCAGGAGCTGATAGGATAACCATGTTAATCAATGCCTAATACTAACATTAGCACTTTACAGACATGCACTGAGTCAATGGAGCTTCTCTGTACTCAGAGACTGTGATAGTCAGTGTGCTACGTGAGTGTGCATATTATTATTCCCAGATAGTGATGGAAGTTCTGAATGGTTTAAAGATTTACAGTTTACAGAAATTTTCTGCTAAAAGTGCTGCCTTCCAAACATGATTGTTAATATACTTTCTTTTTATGCTTTATCTCGTAAATGTCATATTGTACAATGGCCTAAGTCACCATTTGGTTTAAAGGAAACAATTAAGTAATTATCTCATTACATTTTGAGGAAGCATGAAGTTTATTTTTTGGAAAATGTAATTGTTGTTGTGTTGGTAGGCATATGTTAACCTTTAATGTCATGAGCACAATTATGACACTTTTGGATATATGCAGTATGTATGAATAGACAAAAGGAGGCAGAAATTTTAGTCTGTCTAATCTGTTCATGACTATGATGGCTAGAATTATTATTATTATTTTTATTATTATTATTATTATTATTTTTTTATTTTTTTTTTTTTTTTTTTATGTATTTATTTATTTTTTTGCATGAGGGACTCAAAACATATGGAGGGGTTGATAGTGAAGTTCAGTTTACAGTGGACATAGCTGCTGTGAAGGAGGATGCTCAGGATGAGACTCAATAAAATGAAACATTTAACTGTATTTGTAAGTATTTTACTACTCAATACTGTATGTTCAGTTTCCAAACACAGAAATGTCATACCAACAGAGCATTCAATTGTTGTTTGATACTATGTCAAAGCAAAATCTACATCGGTTCACTTTACACCTAGTCTAGCGCTTCCTGACACCAATATTGCACTTCCAAGGCAGCTGCAACCCTCTGCACTCACCACCTCCTCTCCTTTACGTCACCATATCTCCATTTTTATCCACCATCTTAGAAACTTCAAACATTATCTTGTGCATTTGAGCCAACATAAGGGACTGTTAAGCTTGTGAACCTATATTCACTTCTATCCCATATAGACTCTTATCTTGCATAATTCCATCCACTTAGCAGCGGCTGCTAACCCAAACAGCCTCTCTCGCTCTGCATGTCAGCTCCATACAGCACTGTGGTCACCTTCAAATGACATGGCCCCATATATCTCCCTAGACACCCATGCAATATCATATAATACAAGCTGCACTATAATCTGACCCTGCTCTCCTGTCTTATAAATGAGTAGTACGTTCATCCCTCCAGTATTTTTAGTCTGCTGCTGTGAATGTGAAGAAAAAAGACTCGGATTAAAACAGGAACTGAACAAGGACTAAATCAGGTCTCAATGCTATCAGGTCTAAAGCAGATTTTAAAGGTGCACATATTGGTGCAGCTATTTTTGTGGAGAGTCTGCCATTTGCTTGTCTACATTAAAATGTTATTGCTTTGCCTGAAATGTTCAACAGTATGATATTAAACTTATATATTTCCATGATGACACACAAGAGACAGAACCAGAACAAGTTGCAGGTCAGATCTGTAGAGAGATCTGTGTAGAGGTGACCCCACTAGCAAGATTGCATGGTTTTATGCAGAAGAAAGACTAAAACACTAAATCCAAACTAGATACAGGTAAAAGTACTGGACTAGATCAGGACACAAACCATGAACACAAATTTGGAATGAGAAAAGTGTTTAATGAACTCCTGTGATGAAGTAATGAAGTCTGTACTGAATCAGGGTGAAATTTAAAGCAGCTTTTAACTGTGTTACAGTTGTTTCCCCTCACCATTTACACTCCTGAAATTGTATTTGCATGATTTATGCATGTTTGAGCAATCTTTAATTGCTTATTTTTACGATGCCATATTGCCGATAAACTCTCATTTTCCCCTCCACCTGTATACACCAACTGCTCTGTATTTACTTTGTTTTCCATTTGTAATTTCTTAACCTGTGATATGCGTTGGATTCTTTTTGTACAAATGAAAAAGAAGTTTGCTGCTTGCTAGTGTGGTCTGCAGCTTTCCATCGGAAGTGCTGACAGCTGCATGGTTCATTGTTGTTATGATGTTTACAGCAACATCAGTTCCTGTTTGGCAGTGCAGTTTTCTTTTCTTTTTTTTCTTCTCCACATCTTCAGGGGGCCCTAACCTGAGGCCAACCACAAAACATCACCACAAAAAAATAAACCTCAACTAATCCAGGTCAAAACCAGGACTAAACCAGGACTGAACCAGGACTAAACCAGGACTAAACCAGGTCTACACCAGGACTAATCCTGGTCTACACCAGCATTAAACCAGGGCTAAACCATTTCAGATCAGACCAAAATAATTCTGATGATTCTTTGCAAAATCTTCTATAGGGCACTGATTTTGAGTTTGTTGTCACATAGTTTCCTGACTCGCGGTGTGTCTGCTGTCTCTGGAGCTGCAGGGCTGATGTAATTTATGCGCTGTGCTTTGTGAGAGGAGAGAGAGGAGCAGCGGTGAAACCAGCCTCTCCACACTGAGAGCTCCTCTGGGAGACAGGGGCGATCCAAGCTCACCTCCTTCTGTCTCTCACTAGGCCCATCTGACCACATTCAAGACACCCATCTACTGTCTGTATGCCAGTGGAGAGAAATAGCAGGATATAAAGCAATCATTTTGTATACACATAATAAAATAGACTGAGAAATCAATACAATATGATTAATAGTATTTTAATGGATAACTTTTCAATAGATTTCAATATGCCTTTCTTATTGAGTGCTACTTTCTTTACTTTTAAGTACTCATATTACAGTATTTTCTGACCTGTTATAATGTTGTTTCTCCATCAAAAATATACCTGGAGTTTTGTTTTGTTTCATTCACACATGTTTAACACACAAATCCTGCTTATTTAGACGTTAGAGTTCTTCGCTCAAACAGAAAACACTCTGTTCCACCTTGTGATGTCGTGGTAATGCAGTAAGTGTCTTTGTGTTTTTAAATTCCATACACTTTCAAGAGAATCATTTGGATAATTTCAGCTTTGGAATTGCCAGTCTCTACTGAACTAAAGGTAAAGGATAGCTGTTAACTTGAAAACTACCACTACATGACATCCTTAGGTGATGAGTATTTTGAGCTTTGGAGATGTAGAGTAATAATGCAGGATTACTCATGAAGCAGAACACAACTCCAGGTATGTTTTTGAGAAGGTAACAACATTATGACATGGCTAAAAGCTCACATGAGTCAGACTTGCATAATGTACAACCTTTAAGAGTGAGGAAGTTGCTACGCCAAATAAGATTGTGTTAGTCATAGCTATTTGCATAAAAGTTGTTAACATAATAATCTGAGTTAGTATTTGCATTTTTAATAAAACAGTTAACTGCGTTGTGTGTTGCATTTGACATGTAAATCTACCTTGCCTTTCCTCTGGTGCCACAGTGGCTGAGTGGCTAGCACTCATGCGCTGATTGGCATGGCAGCTGTGCTTCTGTCAGTGTGCCCCAGGGCAGCTGTGGCTACAATAGTAGCTTACCATCACCAGGGTATAGAGTGAATGAATAATGCTGAATGAATAATACTGAATAATGCTCTGTAAAGCGTCTTTGGGGACAGAAAATGCCTGTGAAAAGCACTATATAAATAAAGACTTACTTACTCTGTTGTGGCATTGTTTCATATGATCTTGTTTAGTGTTACTGGAAGATGCGGCACTACCATTTGGCAAAAGCAGGTGGCTGCCTAGGGCCCCCAAACTTTGGAGGGGCCCCTAATCAGTTGCCCTCAGTGCCACTAATGGCCGAGGCCTCAGAGCAATTTGATTTTCTCTCAGTATGACATTAAATCAGAGTAAAAAATCATATGTAATGGATGTAAACAAAAATGTAATTGTTCTAGCAAAAAAATACAACTATTTCCAGCTCTGGTTATCAAGTAGGCTACCTAAGTAATAAGACAAGTTTTCATATTTCATATACATAGAGATGTGAACAATGGGGAAAAACAAAATAAATATATTCAAAACAAAGCAAAACGGTACATTATAGCGAGGGCCCCAATCTCAAGTTCACCTAGGGCCCCCAAATTGCTAACTCCACCACTGGTTAAAAGTATCATGTGTAACTTTTCTTGTAGGAGGTCTTCTACTTCCTTGTCTTGATGGATGTCATTCCTTTGCCTGAAATATTTCACAGAATGGAATTATGGCATTAAATCAATTTTGCATTTATTGAACTACACCCTGAAAATGCAATCTTACTGTGAGTGCGGTCATCTCTCCACAGATCTGACCTGTAACTTGATTATGTCCATGGAAAATAATAGCTAGCAAGCGTGTGCCATCTAGACTTCTAACCTGCCCATTACTCAGCGTCAGACCTTTAACATGCAGCTAAAATTCAGAAAAGCATTTAGTTTATTTCGTGAGTCAAGCAGTCAGCAGTTCCATTGGCAGATCGGAGTTTTGCACTCAGCACTAATTCGGGAAACAGGAAACCCATTTGATCTGAAGTGTGACTGTGTTTGTGTGTTATAGGACTGCACTCCATTTCCATGACGACGGAGAGGGTTGTTGGCGCGGAGATGAGGAGCGCGATGGAGGCAGACACCAGGAGAGCCAATCAGGTGCGACCTCAGCAGCTGTACATCACTCCACTCAAGTCTCTCCATCATTCATAGCCCCTTCCGTCTCTCTCTCTCTCTTTTTCTCTCTCTGTTTAATATGCAGGAGAGCTGTAGGCACGGGCCAGGCTGCAGCGTCAAGTCTCACTCACTATACTAAAGACTCTGAATACTAGTGAGGGCTTATTCAGCGGTGCCCTCAGCTAATGATAGCGCCCTTCACAAACACGAGTGTATGTTTTTGCTGTTCAGTTTAAAGGGGCACCATACCTTGTAGGTGGAGGGTCTGAAGTCTTCTTTTCTCCATGGACAGGTTCCTGTTTTGCATGTTGCTGCTCCACAAAATGACAAAACTTTGCAATCTCCATGGAGACAAGCAGGTGACTCAACCAAACCAAGATTTATTTTTGGGCTATTATCATACTGAGGAACACTTCAGGCAAATAAATACATAAATAATAACATTTCCATGGAGAGATCTTAAACAGAGCATGCTGACAATATAATGATTTTTAGTCAGAGGCTGGTACCAGCACCGTGCGTTTACTATTGTTTGAGTAATATTTCTTATAAAAATAGGTTACTCTTCCTATTTTAAGTGAAAATAAATCTATCAATATAGAAGTGTTTGTTTCCCTGCTACTAGAGATATGATTTAGTTTCTGTCATGTCTGTGGTGTATACTTTGGAAATGCCAGAATCAGTGCATTACTTGGAGTATTTGTCCAATTGTCTTTTGTTCTCTGTCCACCTCTGTTTTAGTACAAATGTCAAGAAAATGTTCCAGTCATGACAATTCAACATCAGGAAAATGGGGAACAAAACAACCAAACTATTATTAAATTAATAGCATGTGTTTTGAATCTGTCAGAAAAGGACAGGACATCCTCCTCAGCTGGTCCAAAAATCCTGCAGAACTATGAAAACAGTAGTAGGTCTTTGGGAGAAAGGCACCAAAACTAAAGTTACTTACATCATTTTTGCAGGAATTGTGTGAATACTGTTTTTTATGAAGGGCAAAGTAAATTGTGCACTGAAGATAACATAGAGATTATTTTTGTCTTTTGGCCAGGTCCCCGAGGATCACGAGGTAGACGATAGCTCAGAGAAAACTCCAAGCAAAGCGTCCAAATCTCCTCAGAAAAGCTCCAAGAGACCCAAGACCGTGCCTGTCAAAGTCACTCTATTGGATGGATCGGACTACGACACTGCAGTAGAGGTATGTCAGGTGTACTTAAAAGGTCTTGTTAGGCAGTAAACGTAACACTGTGCATGTTCATGAATGCTAGTGTTTGTAAAATAACAGTGAAACTTTCACATCTTGGTAAAAAAAATAAAAAAAATAATACAATTTGATTCCTAAATAGGAGTAGTTTTCATTTTGTTTTGATTTTCATTTCAAAAGCCGACTTACATTTGTCATAATAATCGGAAAACTCAATACTGACCTTATTTTGCCCTGTTCATTTTTACATCTGACTGCTTCTAAACCACACTTTGTTCAGCGGGAATCCCATTCATTTAAATTATGTTTTGCCACTAAAATATGACTTAAAATGGTTGATTTGTAAAAAAAAAAAAGTTCAATGTTCATGTGCACCGACAAGTCAACACTGCATCTATTCTGTGGAAGGCTGTAAAACTGTATAGTATTTATATAATACTTATATTTATATAGTGCATAAAGTATTTGCTGTCAATGCCGGCACCCCATGCAAAATAATACAACCCGAACTACAATGGCTACTCCCACGCACACTTTGGGAATAAGAATTGACTACCAAATGAAGAAGATCTCATGCAGGCCTACATCTTCTGAAAATATGAATTTATTTAAAAAAATTTTAAACATGAAGTCTGTTAATTATAGATTACCTTTATTCTTGTAATTTTGTGCAAGTACTAATTAGTGCCCTTCCACTGATTCACAGCCTTGCTCAAACAAACTTTATAAACTGGTGGTGCGTTCACTTGCAGTTGGGCGTGTTGACACTGTCTCAGAATTTGGCAGCTCACGATTCTCCACTGGCAGCTGTTACTGTGGCTCTGTCGCTGTGTTTCACAAGTGTCATCCTGTAATTAGTTTGGAAGAAAAATGAAATAATAAAAAGATTGTGTCCAAAGTTTAACCTATTATATGGTTACTTCAGATGAGAAATTCAAGCTTTTAATGAGTTATGCAGCACTTGGCATTTTAACTTAAGGTGGTGGAGGTGGATAGATATTGGGTTGTAACTTTTTATATTTCGCTATTCTTTAATACATGAAAAAATATGAACAACTTAAAAACTTTCTCAGACACAAAGTATTCTTTAACAACTCTAAGCTGTTTTAGAATTTGCTTTGTTTTTCATAATAAATAAAAGGCAAGTGACAGAGGCAGATAAACATAGTCTTTCTAATATACAACTTTGTCTAATTATACTTTGTCTAAACACATTAATCACATCAGGTTTGATTGGATTAATTTCACTGGAGTTAATTAAACCTTTTGAGCCAAAACTGACTCTTATTTGCCCATTAAAAATACACATTTTCTCTTTGTAAACAAATCTTAGCTCTATGCACTGAAACCCTTTGAACCAATGAATAAAACTACATTGCATTTTTATGTAGCGCTCTCCTCTCTTTCCCAACATCAGCATTTCTACAATTACCCAAACATAATTACACAAAATGACTTCTAAAGGTTATTTTGTAATGCTATTAAGGCAGGCAAGGCAGGAGTTTCAGTGTGAAAAAATGCTCTCTCGGTTAAAAATTCATATCAGAGTGTACGGGGAAGCTAATACAGGATTTTAGGAGGCGTCCCAGGTTTGAGTCAGCATTACGCACTTTGCAGGGCTTTTGGCTCCGTGTTCACGCTGACAGAGGGAGAGGGAAGAGGGAGGAGGGAGGGGGCGATCAAGACAAGCAATGCATTAAGGGAAATAGAAAAGCTTGGGTGAGCAATGCCCCCTAAAGCAGTCCTCCCGATGGTGACTGGTAGTGTAGTGTTTGTAAACATGATTGCTCAGAGAATTCCCCGAGAAACACCATCAGTTTATTTGAATTTCACAGTTGCTTGTCATGATCATGGAGTGAGAGAAATGGAGTAGGTCCCCATGATAAGCTCTGGAAATGTGCAAGACAAGACAAACTTTATTTTTAGCTGTAGAGATCTTAATTTAGTATAATCTTAAAGGGCCCATATTACTATTTTCAGACTTATGTTATAATGTTTTCTCATCAAAAACATACCTGGAGTTGTATTTTGTTTCATTCTCACATTTAACACCAAAGCTTGCATATTTAGGCAAAACTACCACTCCATGACATCATAAGGAGCATTTTGAGCTTTGGAGATGTAGACAGACTACTACAGATTTCTTTTGGGAAAATAAATTGTCTATTTAATCTGTAATCTAATAAAGGATTATCCAAACGTGTGAATGAAACAAAACACAACTCCAAATATGTTTTTTCATGAGGTAACAATGTTATAACAAGCTCACAAGAGTCAATTTTACATAATATAGCACATTTAAATTACTAATTTGTCTTTTTTTTATGCTTATATGGATCATACAAGCAGCAACAGAGCATTCAGTCTAAAATTTGCAAAGCATGATTTGCAATATTTTACATGAATTTTTTGCCATTGTGGAAAAAAATCTAGCTAAGCAATAACAACTACATGGACATGACCTGACAAATAAATGATGTACCTTTCAGAAAAGTTATATGGTGCTTCTTTAAACTTATATTTAACCCTATGACTTTGTGATTGAAATCATATGCCATATTTAACCCTCTCCAGGCAGGCATTGCAGATTTGCAACACCTAAATGCCAATTACCTACTTACTCCACATCCATATTTTATGAGCCTTTTTTACTCAGGAGCCTTTTCTCCCATCCATGCTGATAAACGTGGACGATGCAGACTGTGCAAGAATGGCTACACGCAAACGGCCTGCCAGAAGTGCAAAGAACTTTAGTTGTTTACAAAGGATAAAAATTGTTTCTTGGAGTACCACACGAAAAAGTGATGTTGTTCTGCCACTGTAAAGCACTGTTACACTGTGCTTTTTGTTTTCATTGTTATGAAAAGTGGTATACAAATAATATATCATTTTCAGTCTTCTGTGTTAATTTTCCACACCGGGCCAATGCTGCAAATCTGCAACATCCCAGAACACATTGAGCGCCTGAACGCCTGAGAGGGTTAACACGAATGTGTCCTGACACAATATTTACTATATTTTTTATTGCACTGGCATCAGGAGGGTACTTTTTCTTGTTTTTTAATATATTAACATTTTAAGTGTTGACTAATTTAGATACTAACCAAGTACTTAAGTGTGCTGTTTATTTATTGCAACTGATGTTTTATTCATGTGGTTCATTTAGAAAAGGGCTCACTGTGATTTTCCTGTGTTATGGTTGTAGGTCAGTGGCCTGTACTGGTCCTCAGAAATACTGTTAATAGTAATATTTTGCATTCTTGGATTAGCATAGCCAGCATCAATATTTTAATCAATGCATAGCAGTTCACATCTTCACTATGCTTGTCTGATGTCTGTGCCATTACATTTGAATTACAGTATGCAGAATATGCTCTCAGTCATTAGCCCTGACAGTCCCATTCAATTAACAGAGCTGAGCTGTGATAGACACCTCCATTTATACACATCAATCAGTCAATCAATCCGCTAACACAGTGTCATTAATCACCCATTATGTTTTACAGTTGTCAGTGCAGCCAAAACAGAGACCCATTCAAATACAAGGACACTGGTTAACCCTTTTCCTTATTTGAGGCTTTCAGTCTTGTTGGTCTTCTTGCAATATTGGGAGCAACATTTTGCCTCAGGGCTGGCCACCTGTTTTTCTGGAGGGAATCAGCATGTCTGTCACAGGGGCGAGCGGAGCGGGCACATAATGGTCTCAGAAAACAGTGAGAGACCCAAATATAGATCTATTGTATAGTTCAGCTGCAACTCAACCTGTCACCTATGCAAGTTAGTTGTAATGACTGCTCTGAGTCATTAAAGCCAAAAAGTAAAATTTTCAGTAATATATAATTTATATAATTATGGCCTTAGAAAAATGCTTCAACTATTTTTCAAGTTGACATTAGTTGAGTTATTTCGGGCCTTGAGCAATTTTTGTTCAGGTTAGATTTGTGATATAGAGGCTACAGAGTGTAACAGTGGATGTGCCCTTCAGGTTCTGGAAGTATAATCTCCATAATTTTTCCTCATACATAAAAAAAAGTTTAATGCAGGCTAATCAGCTAACTCAGTGGTCATGCATCACCATAAAAATCTATTTAAAATGTCTGCTAGAGACTTTATAAACTGCACATTGATAGCACAGTGAGCAGAGGGTAAACCTGTTGTATTCTGTTGCTGGGCTTCAGATGACACGACAACATTCTCTAGCAGAGGTGGAGACTTGTAAGTCATGACTTGGGACTTGGGACTCGACTTAGACTTGAAGGTCAATGACTTGGGTCTTGATTTGGACTTGAGAACTGTGACTTAAGAAGACTTGATGCTTCTGCTAAAAATATATATTTTCAGAAATACTTTTCTCTTTACAGTTGATACATGTGGTGCTTGATTTTAAAGGAACAAACTTTAACATGTCCCTCACACTTTTCTATTTGTTACTTTTGGATGTAACTGAAATACTGTGAGATGGTATCCTCAAATGTACTACAGTAATATACAGCACAATACAGTAATACAGAGAGAACTGCATAAACAATCCTTTCTATTCTGACCATAATCATCAGTCGACAAACTGAATTTTCTCCTTGACATGGATTCTGCCTGGATGACGGAGGGATTCTTCACACAGATGACTTGGACTTGACTTGGACTTTAAGGGCCAGTGACCCAAGATTTGACTTGGACTTGCCAGTAATTGACTTGGGACTTGACTTGGACTTGTGGTCAAAGACTTGAGACATACTCGAGACTTGCAAGACAACAATTTGGTCCCACCTCTGTTCTATAGACCAATAATATTTCATACCAATGAAATACAGATTAAATCACAGGAATTGGTCAAATATAAATGATCACTTTCACCATTTATTAAATTACCTTGCAATAATCTGAAAACTTCTAATTTGGGAAAAGACTGGACACTGTCGTTATGGGAAATCCCACCCCTTGAGCTCTGAAGCTTCACCTTATGTGTCAACATTATGGTGACAGAATTTATTACC